TCCTCTCCCATGCCCCCCCCCCCTTGTCCAATTCATTAGCAAATTTTGTCCCTTCTGTCTCTAAGATATATCCTGAATTAGCCCCTCCCCCACCCAGTGTCTAAGCTCCTAGTACCGTCTTGCACAACTGCAAAGGCTCTCCTGGCTCCCCAAGGAGCCAATTCACACAGCTGCCAGGGTGACCTTTAAAAATACAAATAAGAAAAACAAAACAGAGCAACAACTCAGGGCATGTCACTATCTGCTTAACAACCTCCTACGGCTTCTCTTGGAAGAAAGCCCCAGCTTCTTACCCTGGCCCCTTCCTATCCAACCTCTCCGCCATCATTTTCCCCAATGCCCAGTTGCTGCTCACACTGGCTGCCTTTCTGTTTCTTGAACTTGACAAGCTTTTCCCCACCTCTGGCCTTGGCGTTGCTGGTCCCTTTGCTTGGGACACTCTGCCCAGGTCCTTCTCAGGGATGTCATCTCCCTATTAACCCTGACCACAATACTAAAGCAGCCCCATACCCGTCTGTCCGATCTACTGTGTCACTTACCCTTGTCTGTTTCTTCCACAGAACTAACCACTTTCTGTAATTATCTTCCTTAGTCACTTGGTTTGTGGTCTGTCTCACTTACCAGAATGGCAGCTTCATGAGCATGGGGGCCGGGTCTGTCTTGTTCTCTGCTAGCACAATGCCTGGCACAAACCTAGGAGGTGATCAACATGCTCCATACGTTTAAGGAATGCAGGAGACTCTGGGGAACCAATGGGACACTAGTCCATCTGGTCACCCTAAGGGGAGGGGCCAGCTGCAAACCGCTATATTCATCTGCATTCACCCAAATGCTTCATAGATACAGGCAGGCCTGTGGTTTTCAATAACAATAATCTTAGCGGCCAACGCTTGTTGAGTATTTACTATGTGCCAGGCATTATTCAAAGTGCTTTACATGGCTTAAATAATGTTACCATTTTTCAATTCTCACCTGAGGGTGTTTTCACTAATTTTTAGAGAGAGAGGAAGGGAGAGAGAGAGAGAAACGTGGATGTGAGAAAGAAACATATTGCCTCCCACATGCACCCCCACTGAGGATCAAACCCACAACCTAGGTATATGCCCTGACTGGGACTCGAACCCACCACCTTTTGGTGTATGAGATGATGCTCCAACCAATTGGGCCACTCTTTCAGGGCTGGCTTAACTGATTTTAATTTGCACAACGAAGTAGATACTAATATCCTCAGTTTATAAGCAGAGACTCACCAAGACACAAGAGTGTAATCATTCAGCAAACACACAGGTGCATCGTAGGGATTGAATTCATTAATTATTATCCTACAACAGATGATGGGTGAAGTGAGTGAGCCTATATGGCTGAGCCTGGGCCATTTAGTAACTACTACAGGAAGGTGGAACAGAACGACAGGGAAGGGTCAAGGAGTATGTGTGTGTGTGTGGGGGGGGCATGGGGCAAGTTTGGGCAAGGGGTGAGTAGAAGGGGAAGTTTAGGCCACAGCCTATGCCCTGAGTCCCCATGGCACTCGGTGCAGATGTGGTGTGGAGGCAAGGCCCTGGGTCCTGGTGTTCTGCCACCCACCAGAGGGGTGATCTTGGGCAACCAGTTACCCTCTTGGAGCCACATTAGCAAAATGCTGGGGAGGCTTACATAACACTAACTCCCTCAGCCATTGCCAGGATTAAATTTTAAAATGCTCATGAAAGCGTTTCATCAGCTGCAGAGGGCTTGCTGGTGTCAGGGACCAGGGAAAGGGTGCGGGTTGCCAACCTGGAAAGATAGGGTTAGAGCTATGCTTTGGCCGCTCCTGAGTTACAGTCCACTGCTATATGCCCCTCCAGCGCTCGTTGCTTCTTCTGTACTTGCCCTGGCACAGAGTCAGTACTCAGTGGATGTTTGTGAGAGATTACATGTGTTTGATGAGTGAATGTCCGAGTGAAGGAATGACCCAGGATGAGTAAAAGAGGGAGAATTAGTACATGATTGAAAGACGAAGTGAATGAAGCAGGAGCTAGAGACACCCTCTGCCTCCGTGCCTCAGTTTCTTCATCTGTAAAAGGCAGTAATAAGACTTGACCCACCTTTCTCCCTGGGCTCCAGTACGGATCTGATGAGATGGGGCAGTCCATGGAGGCCACCCCTTGCTCTCTGCAGGGCTGAAGTGACTGGTGCTCCCCTCCCCCACATCCCTGTCCCCCGGAATTTATAGATTCCTCATTGTCCTGCACAAAGGCCTTGTAGGGGAGGAGGCGGGGTGGGTGAGGAGACTAGGGAATTAAAAAGTCAGAGGCTGAGTAACAGCCGGCCACACCCGAGGCCTCATAAATCTGCCTGAGCTCCCTGTAAGACGGACTTCCTGTGCCTCACACCCGGTGGGCTAACAGGGCTCCCGCCACCGGCATGAGCTCATCCTCCTTGCAACTCCAAGCCTCACCCAGGTGGAGGGCTGTGTGTGGACGTGAAGATATGACCCTGAGAGTGGGCGAGGGGTGAATCCTATTGTTTTCTCCCTTGATGTCACAAAGTCCTTCCTCCCATCTCAGCTCTGCTCCCTCACATGCCACTGTCATTCTGGTCTGCTGCTGTTGGTTCTGGGCAGAAAAATGAGCTTTCTGTCGGTGTTCTGAGTCCCTTGGTGAGGAGGGCCTGGAGGTTCAGACTCAAGGAAAACAGCCTCCTCCCCCACTCCATCCTTTGGGGAGAGGGTGGGGGCTGAGAGTAGAACTGGCAGATGGTGCGGTGTTAACAGATGACATGGAAAACAGAATTACTCAGCTGCTCTCCCCCTGCATCTTCCCTGTGGAAGGGGATGGCCTTCAAACTGGAAAGACACTGATGTCAGTTGGGAGGGTTGGGGAGCATGGGGAGAGAAGCTGCAGGACATGGGGGACCACACACCAGACCTAGCTTGGAGTCCCATCTCTGCCACTCATCAGTTGGATGATCTCAAGTAGGCTCATTAACCTCTCAGAATCTCTGTTTCCTCATCTATAAAATGGGTCAGTGAGAAAACCTGCCTTACGTTCTCGCTGGCTTTTATGAAGATAATGTGGATTTCTGTGTTTGTAAAATGGGCTTTACAACTTGTGAAGGTATAAAAATGTAAGAGATTACTTATAAGAGGTAAGTGCCAACCCCTTAATTGTTTGTAAAATCATTTTTAAAACTTTTTTTTCTTCTTATAACAAAATAGAATAGAGTAGAAAACATCACAGGGAATCACAAAGTTTTGTAAACCTTTGCTTTTAGTTACTTGTATGCTCATGTGACCTGGGTAGATGTATGTAGTATGAGTGATGGTCAAGAAAGTTTGAAACATTTCAAGTAGGGGAAATTCCTTAGTAATATCTCCAGATGGGAATGGTGGAAGGATGGAAACTAACAACATGAAACATACCAGGTGAAACAGTAAATGTACTGGGCTGGGGAGACCTGGCTCTGAGCAGCTCAGTGTAACTGAGGTTGTTGGACATGGGTGGAGGGGCTTACTTAGGACCTATTAACTGCCCTGTCAGTGGGTAACAAAATTTGCTTCACTCTGTAAGATGCCTTGGGCCTGAATCCTGGATAAAACACCTATTAGGCCATGTACATTGCTCCCTCAGCATGGCCCTGAGCTGAGCCAGAGAAAACGGGCTGGTCAGTGAGAACCTTGCCCTCCTGTGCCTGGGCCCCTCCCCCAACAAATCAACTAAGAGTGCAGAAGGATCTGCAACAGGTATGATGTGCTGGTGGTCAGGACCCCCTGTCTGAACTTCACCCATGACCCTCATCTCCACCCCCTCACCAGGGGCCATAGCCCAGTGAGGGTGAGCTGGTCAGAGGGGCCTTAAATCAATCTCAGACTTCCCTGGCTGGCATTGAGTTACGAGCCATGGGTTTTGTGATGTAGATCATGGTTGGGGAGGAGGGGCATGACCTATGGCAGGTCACAAAGGACCCCCAGAAGGGGCCAGAGTCGGGGTCAGAGGCCACCTCCTCCAGTCTTCATTCCACCCTTCTGGGTCCTATCCCATGTCTAGTCCTTAAGCTGGGTTGAGCCAATTCCCCACTGACTGCTGGCCCCGGCTCCACCTGCCACCAGGCCTATAAGGTAGGAGTAAAGGGGCTGAGCAGGAAAAAAATCCAGCAAGAAAGGGAGAGGATGAGATAACAGTACCTTTGGTTCCCTAAAGGAGACAGGTCAGTGCTCCAAACCTGACTCAAGGGTTTGCTGAGTTCTCTCTCTGGACTTGCCACTGCACCCTCCCCAAACCTCCCCCTTGTCTTCTGGTTGAATTCCACAAGTCAAGACTCCTGCAAACGTGGGCCCAAAGGATTGGTAGATGGCTGGTGATAAGGCATGAGAGAGAGAGAGAGAGAATCAAGCCAGTGCTCAAGAAAATGTATGTTTTCAAGGCTTCAGAGAGGGAGTTAAAGGGATAAAAAGATGGAAAGATCAAATGTTGAAAAGATAGAGAAAAGGCAAAGTGAGACAGACAGAAAGAAGGTGGGCAGACAGAAGGCACTGAAGAGAGCAACGTTGAAAAATTGGAGCGGCGAGAAAGGAGTGTCCTGGTGAACTCCCATCAGACCCCAGCAGCTAAGAAGTCAAAATGAGGATAGCCTGTGCACCCCTTTACTGTTGATCCTTACGGCACCGACTGAAGGGCGATAGCCATTATTTTACACATTAACCAGTAACCTCCCCTCCCCCACTGCCACAGTCATCTCTGTCGGCAAAGGCATACACTGGGAAGGTCAAGACCTGGCCTGGGGAACAGGACAGGGGATAAGAAGGGCCAGCAGAGTGTCCTCCTGAGGCCAGAGGCCAGTACAGGGCACCTGCTGGTGGAAGGTAGAAGAAACTTCACAAACCTGGGTAACTAGTCAGGTTGGCTAAAGCTGATCTACAGAAATAATTCCCCTGCGCTTCATGCTTTGGGCCACAAATGGGACCCTCACCACCACCTTCCTGTGCACCTGCCCTGCCAAGACCCTGCCCCTGCAGCTGACCCCAGAACCCCCTGCTGTAGCATCCTTGCTGTCAGGCGGGGATGCTCTCCCAATTCCTGTCCCAGGCTGCCACCTGCTGGCTGAGGGTGGCCTTCAGAAACAGGACCCTTGTGGAGGCTAGGGTTGGTCTATTGGACCAGAGGTAGCTTCCTCTAAGGCTTGGGGGAAGAGAATTTGAAAAGCAAAATGTGAAACCCCCTTTTAACTAGCTAGATGCCCTTGGGCCTCTCAGCACGGGTCAAAGTCTCCTATCCCTCTATAGTCATTCCTGAATGGTGCTGGGGGGATCTCAGGCCACAGGAGAGGCTGTCGGGGAGCTCACATTTCCTGAGTGGCTGAAACTGGGCCAGATGCAGGAGACAGAGATGACCTAGGAGAGGGAAACAGCCGAGAACAAGATTAATGATAACTAGTATACAAAAGCCAAAATACGTGCCTGACACAAGGTAAGTTTCAATGAATAGGTTTGAACGAATGAATGAATGAAGTACAGTAAGTACAGGAGAGTTGGGGAGGAAGAGAAGGAAACGGAAATCTTTCTGATTATTTTCTTTTTTCCTTTTGTTATCAAAAGGTAATTATCTTGGTGGAAGATTCAAACATTATACAAGTTTAAAAAGCAAAATGTAAAGGTCCCCTTTCACCTCACTCCTGTTCACCTTAAGTTAACCACTGCCATTTTAATGAGCACCATTCTTTACAATAGTCTTCACCCTTGGCTACATATTAGAATCACATGGGGAGATTTTAAAATCCCATTGCCCAAGTTGTGCCCCAGACCAATTACGTCAGAATCTCTGGAGTGGGTTCCAGGCATCACTGTTTTTTAAAAGTCCCTAAGCGCTTATGCCATGCTGCCAATGTTGAGAACTACTGTTCTAGCCCTTTTTATGCATTTATATACATGTAAACAGCCAATCACACACACACACACTCCATATATATTTATATTCCATTGAGCTTTTTTTCCTCCTCAACATGTCTCAGATATTTTCAGAGCAGTCCATAGGAATCTAATTATTTTTTGTTAGAGGCATAATATGCACGTGCATATTTTTCAAGCCCTTCCTCTATTGATGGACATTTGAGTTCTTTCTAAACTTTTTCTTAGTATTGCAAACAATGCTGCAAAGTACATACAGTATATCTTTACTCACATATGCAAGTACTATTTTGGGAAAGATTTCTAATACCAGAATTTCTGGGTCAATGTGTATGCACATTTGTTATTTTGATAGATTCTGCCAAAATGCTTTCCAAAAATACTTCACTAATGTACAATTCCCCAACAGTGCAAGGCAAGCACTTACTATTATTAATGTTTAATTTTTACTAAATTGATGGGCCAAAAGTAATATTTTATTATTTTTTAAAAAAATTTATTGATTGATTTGAGAGGGAGGGAGGGGGAGAGAGAGAGAGAAAGAGAAACACTGATTTGTTGTTCCATTTCATAGGTTGATTCCTGTATGTGCCCTGACCGATGATTGAACCCGAAACCTTGGCTTATCAGGACGACACTCTAACCAACTGGGCTACCTGGCCAGGGCTTCATTATTGTTTTAATTTGCTTTTTCCTGATTACTTGTGAGATTATTCATCTTTTCAAATATTTATTGGCCATTTGTATTCTATAAATTAATTTCCATGTTATTTGCTCATTTTCTTGTTAGATTTTTAATTAGGATTAGAGAAAATTCTATTTCTAATAATATGACTGACTGGACTCTGGACTGATCTTTCTGAGTGCCAGTTAAAATACAAATGCAAATTATTTTTAAAAGCATTGAAGAGCTGGCTAGATAGCAAGAATTTATTAGGTTATAATCTAAGGTGAGGAAATAAGGGAAGCAGAACAAGGGATCGACTTTAGTCTGAGGACATTTGTTGAACTAGACAAACTTGAGCTTCAATTTCTGCAGTTTTTATCTTGGACAGAACCAGATAAGGAATTTAATAGGGAATTTCTTTAAAAAGCAGTGACACCAAAGGGTATGCCCTTAATGTAAGATTAAATCTGAAATAAATCTGCCCCATTGTTACCTCCAGAAGACTTTAAGGAAAGCTGCCTCAGGGCTAAACAGATGAAAAGGCTCTATCAGCTGTAACCACTAGCTGATCCTTGAGCTGATCTGTAGCCCAAATTTATATTAACTTGGGTAATCCAAACTCTCCAAGTCAGGAATTTAGTTTAAAGTGGTTCAGAACTGGTAGTATCTCTAAGTGCCTCGTAGAAGCAAAGTCATGTTCTCTGTTAAAAAAAAAAAAAAAAAATCAGGGAAAATAAATATATCACAGTAAAAACAACAACAACAAACCATTAAACACAAAAGGAAAAAAAGACTATCAGCAAGATTCAGCCCACCTGTATAATCCAGGATAATGTCTTTAACTTAATCTTATCTGAAAAGTCTTTTTGCCCTCTAATGTAACAGATTGACAGGTTCTGGTGATTAGGATATGGACATCTCTGGTAAGTTATTATTCAGCCTACCATAACAATATCAGTTCATTGCAAAAATTTGAAATCATATAACTTTAAAATAATTAAAATGACAGATTTAATAGCAGATTAGACACAACCAAAGAGAGAACTAGTAAAGTGGATGACAGATTTAAAGAAATCTAGTCTTGTTGCCATAACAAAATACCACACACTGGGTGACTTAAACAGAACAAATTTATTTCATAACAATTCTTCAGGCTAGAAGTCTAAGATCAAGGTGCCAGCAGGGTTGGTTTCTGGTGAGGACTCTCCTTGGCTTGTATATGGATATCTTCTCACTATGTCAGGACATGGTGGGGGAGGGAGGGGTGGCAGGAAGTGAACTGGTGTCTTCTTTTTCTTTTTTTTAAAAAATATATCTTTATTGATTTCAGAGAAAGGAAAGGAGAGGGAGAGAGAGAGACAGAAACATCAATGAGGAGAAAGTCATTTATCAAGCCCGCAACTGTGCATGTGCCCTGACCGGGAATCAAACCCCGATCGCCTGGATCCTAGGCTGACGCTTAACTGCTGAGCCACACCCGGCCAGGCTGTCTTCCTTTTCTTAAAATGACAGCAGTCCTATTGGATTAGGGCCCCACCATATAACCTCATTTAACTTTAAGTACCTTCATACAGGCCCTATCTCTAAATACAATCACATTGGGGGGGGCGGTTAGGGTTTCAATGTATGAATTTTAGGGGGACACAATTCAGTTGATAACAGATCCCTCGCTCACACCATATATAAAAGGAAATTCTAGATGGATTAAAGACTAAATATTAAAATAAAACTGTAACATTAATAAAAGAAATGAGATCTTTGTGACCTTGGAGTGGGAAATTCTTTTTAAAATAAGACCCAAAACACAAAATATAAGGAGAACTTTTCATGAATTTAACGACTTCAAAATTCAGGACTTCTTTCAATGAAGTTCACCACAGTTAACTTTTAGTTAACATCAAAGCTAACAGAAAGATTTATAGAATAATCAACTGCAACTGAAGATGAGCTGGAGAGCACCCTCATAACCAAGGACGAAAAGTGGAGACCACATAGAGACTGGTAGGAAGTGCAGAGGTGTGAGAAGGCTGGCTGGGCTCCGACAGGCAGCAGCTGAAGGTCCTGAGGGATATCTCAGCTGTGAGGGGTTCCCACTGAGGACTCTGGGGCCTAAACCACAGGCTTGGCTTCCCAGCCAAGAGCACCAGAACTGAGAAAGGTTCCCATATAACACCTGGTTGTGAAAAGCATCCAGGTTTCTGTCTGCCAGAAGCAGCTGGAAATGCAGACACCCTCTTAAAGAGCCAGCACACAAAGTTTTATGTGCAGCCACTCACCTTGGGCTCCAGCAGAGGGAGGGCAGAGTAGACTAGAGCTGTGTGAGGAGAATCTAGGATTGTGGGCTCTAGAGATAGAGCTCAGCAAGTACCCCTCTGGATTCCTGTGCTGAGTCATTCCCCCATACCGCAAAGGACATCTTTCACAGGCAGACATTTACCTTCTAAGCAGCTTTTGCTTGAGGGGGAAGCAATTGCTGCACCCTGCTGGAAAACCTCTTGCCCTACTCAGAGGAGTTTCTACAGCCCGAGGCTCATTAAGAGAATCAGATTAATCATCCTGCAGAGGAAGACTTCAGAGTGCTTTGAGTCTTTGCCTGATCTGCTTCTGGTCCTCGGCCTTGGAAAGGCAGACTTTGGTGCACATCTTGGTTCTATCCAAATGCACCCAACCCCAACAGAGGGGACCTCAAGCTGTGGGTTGTTGATAGCTCCAAACAGGATATTCAAGGCCAGTCACAAACAGTGTCTGACATAGGCCTGTACCAGAGACCCTCCAAATAGACTGAGAGTCCTAGCAGATCCACCTAATACATAGAAACAAACCCAAATACGCAGCCAAAATGGGGAGATGAAAAAACAAGCCCCAAATGAAAGAACAAGAGAAGTCTCCAGAAAAAGAGCTAAATGAAATGGAGATAAGCAATCTATCAGATATAGAGTTCAGAATACTGATTGTAAGGATGCTCAACAGCATGAGAAAAGATATAGAAACTATGAAAAACAGACTAGTCAGAAATGAAGAATGACAGAAATAAAGAATACATTGGAAGGAATAAACAGCAAATTAGAGGAAACTGAGGATCAGATAAGCAAATTAGAATACAGGGTAGAAGAAATCACTCAATCAGAGATCCAAAAAGAAAAAAAAAACAATTAAGAAACAGGACAGTCTAAGGGATCTGTGGGACAACAACAAACAACAATATTTGCATCATAGGAGTACCAGAAGGGGATGAGAGTGAGCAAGGGATAGAAAATTTGTTTGAAAAAATAATGGCAGAAAACTTCCTTAACCTGGTGAAGGAAAAAGTCACACAAGTTCAGGAGGCACAGAGGATCCCAAGCAAGAAGAATCCAAAGAGGCCCACACCCAGACACATCATAATTAAAATGCTAAAAATTCTAGACAAAGAGAGAATATTAAAAGCAGCAAGAGAAAAGCAATCTGTTACCTACAAAGGAGGTCCTATAAGGCTCTCAGCTGACTTCTCCTCAGAAACTCTACAGACCAGAAGGGAATGGCATGAAGTATTCAAGGTAATGCAAAACAAGGATCTGAAACCAAGAATACTGTATCCAGCAAGGCTATCATTCAAGATAGATGGTGAAATAAAGAGCTTCCCAGGCAAAAAAAAAGGCTGAAGGAGTTTATCACCAGCAAACCAGCATTGCAGGAAATGTTAAATTAGACTGCTGTAATTAGAAGGAGAAATAGAGTGAGAAACATAGGCATAAAGAATTAAAATGACAATAGATAAGTATCTATCAATAATAACCTCAAATATAAATGGATTAAGTACCCCAATGAAAAGACATAGGGTGGCTGAGTGGATAAGAAAACATGACCCAAATATATGCTATCTACAAAAGACCCACCTCAGAACAAATGATTCACACAGGATGAGAGTGAAGGGATGGAAAAAATTTTCCATGCAAATGGAAATGAAAAAAATAGCTGGGGTAGCAATACTCATACCGGACAAAAAAGACTTCAAAATGAAGACCATAATGAGAGAGAAGAAAGATCACTACATAATATTAAAGGGATTGATCCAACAAGAGGATATAATCCTGATAAACATATATGCATCCAATGTAGGAGCACCTAAATTTATAAAAAAAACTTATAGAGGACTTTAAGGGAGAGATCGACAGCAATACAGTCATGCTAGGGGACTTTTAACACCCCACTAACTCCACTGGATAGGTCTTCCAGACAAAAAAAATCAACAAGGAAACTATGACTCTAAATGAGACAATAGATCAGATGGATTTAACTGACATTTACAGACCATTCCACCCCAAAGCTACAGAATATACCTTCTTCTCAAGTGCACACAGAACATTCTCAAAGACAGATCACATGTTAGGACACAAAACAAGTCTCTATAAGTTCAAGAAGATTGAAATATCAAGCATCTTTTCATGCAATGGCATGAAATTAGAAATCAATTACAATAAAAACACTAAAAACATTCAAACACATGGAGGCTAAATAGCATGTTTTTAAACAATAAATGGGTTACCAAAGAAAAGGAAGAAAAACTTTCTGGAAATAAATAAAAATGAACACATAACAACCCCAAATCTATGGGACACAATGAAAGCAGTCCTGAGAGGGAAGTTCATAGCACTACAGGCCTACTTCAAAAAACAAGAAAAACTTCTAATAAACTCTCTAACACTACAACTGAAAGACTTAGAGAACGAGAAAAGCCCAGAGTAAGTAGAAGGAAATAAATAATAAAGATCAGGGCAGAAATAAATGACATAGAGACTAAAAAGACAATACAAAAGATCAATGAAATCAAGAGCTGGTTCTTTGAAAAGATAAACAGGATTGATGAACCTTTAGTCAGACCCATCAAGAAACAAAGAGAAAGGACCTAAATTGACAAAATCAGAAAGGAAAGAGGTGAAGTAACAACTGACCCAACAGAAATACAA